TCGCGCTTTTAAATTCGGGGCCCACTCCCCCCACTAACCTCTCTTACATCAGGCACAGCCACTGCGCCAGTCTCCCTTGAGGAACACCAGCGACGTAAAGCACTGCTGCGTCCTGGCGCAGAAGCCTCGATCGCCGTCGGAGCACGTATACTCGTTGCGACCAGCTTTACCCGCGGCCGGGGTGTCACAGGTGCACCGGGGGGTGGCCTTCCAGACGTTCTCCTCGAGCCGACTGATGAGCTCGGACGGCAGCACGACGTCTACGCCGCCGCTCGCCTCGAGCGCAGTCGCGATGGTCAGCACGTCTGCGTACGAGTGGCTCCATACGTGCACCGGAATGATCGAGTAGCCATCCGGGGAGGAGCTCACACGCGGCATGGAGAGGAGCCGTGAGATCATTGGCTTGACGCCGAGCGTCGTCCCTTTGTCCCCATCGCCCCACAAGCTCACGCGGCCACTGATCAGCACCTTGCCGTCTCCACCTCCCTCTTCACCTCCCTCTCCACCTCGCCCTCCATCCCCTTTCTCTCCTCCACTGCCACTGCCAGCTCCCTTGCCGCGCCCCTTGCCCTCCCCACCACCACCACTGCCATGCCCGCGCCACATGCGGCCCTCCAGCTGGCTGTAACCCCCACCCCACGGGTAGTACAAGGCAGCAGAGACAGTTGGCTCCTGGAGGAGGGCGGCGACGGAAGCGTTGTCGGGAGGGGCGTTCGTCTGTGCCAGTATGTTGAGCAGTTTCATCGAGGAGCGACGCATCCCCTCAGCGGTGAGGGAGGCAAATGGAGCGCGAGAGGGGGCAGGCCATGCCTGAGGGAAGGTGTACCCAACGCCAGAGGGCCCGGCGATGAGCTCGTCCATCGGGGTGCGCGTGCGATTGATCCAGGAGAGGGTGGCGGGGGAGAGGAAGGCGGTGGCTGGGCTGAAGGTCCACCCGAGAGGGGTTCGGCCGCGCTGCGTGCTCCCCCACCATGTGGTGTCTGTGGAGAAGGGGCCGAGCGTCCACTGCAAGTTGTCCCCATCGGTCATGACGAATGCCACAGTGTGGCGAGGAGGCGATGGCGGAGGTGGAGGTGAAGGAGGCGGAGGCGGAGGCGGTGGAGGAGTTGGCAGCGATCGGGCCGAGGGGCCAGCGTTGCTGAGCGCCGCGAGGTTGATGCAATAATCGGAGGCGTGCACGTAGACTGCATACTGGTTGGTGGAGGATACGAACTCGTTCTCTGCACCCCAGCCCAAGGCGACGCCGAGTGGGGTGCGCGTGCTGATGTGGTCGCGCGACGCGAGAAGGGCTCGCTGCGCGTCTGGCTCGCTGTCGAAGGCAAGCGAGGCCGCACGCGAGAAGGTGGCGTAGTCACCGAGGAACTGAGCTTTGGCAGGCGACTGGAAGACGAAGACGTCGCGCGAGAGAGCCGCCAGCACTCCTGGTCGCTTGAGCACGTCGCCAACCGTCCACCTACGCGCGTCGACGTGCATGGGAATGCCGGCGGCCTCGAGCTGTGCTGCGAGAGCCTCACCAGCGGCCACGATGAGGCCGTCCTCAGCCGCCGCGAGCGGAGCGCGGACTCGCCCATGCCCACATGTGCTGCGCAGGTGGGCATGCGCGTCAGTGAGGCACAGCACCCGTGTATTACACATATGCACATTGCCCTCGGGATCACGTCTCCTTGAAAGGCGGCCGCCGACGGCCAGCCGGAGCGCAGGCCCGCTCCGGCGCGAGCGAGCCGAGCTGCTCTGCAGACGATAGCGCCACGCACGTTGTCGAGCCCTCGGCGAGGATGAAACCCTTAACCTCGCTCGCGAAGCGGGTGGCGACGGCTGGCACGCTGGCCATCATCATGCGCCTGCGTTGCCTGCGTTATCCCTCCTCTGCGACTCCCTCAAGGCCGGCCGAGCCTCTTTCCACCCAGTGAAGAGCTTCCTCAGCCACTCGATGTGTTCCTCTCTCTTCATTATGCGCGCCGTAGCCTCATCATTGAGCTGGATCCACCTCTGCACCGCGCCCGTCGCCGCCTCGGCCACGACTTGCAAGTTCCTCGTGACCCCGGCGCCAAGGTCCCTCCGACTCTTCTCCGAGAGATCATCTACCAGCGCCGGCAACTCCCCCCCGACGGCTGGGGCTAGTGCATCGTACCCGTCCTCATCCAGCACCCTATAGCGTGAGCCCATCAGCGCAGCGACATGCGCTGTCCTCAGCGTCTTCAGCGTATCCTTGGAGTCGGGTGCCGCCTGGGCTACTTTGCTGATCGCCGTCCCCGTCTGCGCTCGCGCTACTCTGAGGAACCATCTGGCCTGCTCCCTATTCCCCAGGCAGGCGCCGCTAAGCAAGTGCGCCATCGTCGCTCTAGGTGGGTTCTCATCTTCCTCGGTCCATTGCTGCGCGGCTTTCCGCACGACCGGACACAGCGGGTCTCGCTTTAGTGCCGCCCTCCTCGCCGCGTCCCTCGCGGCCTTACAGACGAGGCAGCCCCTGAGTTCGCTCCTTGTGGCGGCGCCCGGGGTCTCTCTCCCCGCCTCTCCCCGCATAATCCTCTCGTGGTGCGCTCCGTGTGGCACCCCCGCCTGCTGCCGCACACGCGCCCCCATGACGGTCTTTGTCACCACGTTATGATCATCCACGTCGGCGAATTCAATCTCGCGCTCGCCGTGCTGATCCTTGATCCGCTGGCGCTTGTCCCATTTGTATCTCGTCGTTCCCCTGACCACATCGCTCCACAGCGTCCCCGTCACCCTGCCGTGTGCGACCCCGCCGTGAGCCCCTCGCCGAGCCGTCCTCGCACCCACTCGTTCGTGTGGCCGCGTGTGGCGTAATAAATCCTCCGGTCCAGTACGTCTCCCCTCCACTCTCCGTCTGCCGTCCTCCGGCGGTCCGTGTATAGACACGGGCGTGTCCTCACTGCTCCACGGATGACGGCGGTGGCATCCTCAATCTCGCTGGCCCCCATGTATGCAGTCGCCGCTGCGTCGGCGTAGGCGTTGCTAGCGCACCCCGCGTCGAGGAGAGGATTCGGTTCGGCGTCACGGCGGGGCCGAGCCCGGGGGGTGGGTGCGGCGGCGGTGGCGGCAGGAGGCGGCAGAGGACGAGGCTGGTGTTGGCTAAGGCCGTCGCTCGCCGAGGCTGCGGCGGAGGCTAGGGGAGGGGGTGGAGGCGGCGACCGCCGAGGCCAATCGGTCGGCCGTGGCAGCTCGCGCTTGTGCGGCCGGGCTCGGCGTTCGCCCATACACGGAGGGGGGGGGGGGCGGGGCAACAGGGAGTAGGCAGTAGCCCAGGGGCGTTAAGGGGGCACACACACACTCGAGCCAACGAAAAGATTTTTTCGTTTTCAAAACATAATTGCGCTCATCACCACTCGTGGGTTGCACTCTCTCAATCATGCGCGACTGGGCGGACGCGGAGCAGTTCTGCCGACCAGAGCAACTCTAACACTCACTGTTCATTCGTGGGGCATGCTCCCGGGCGGCCGGGGCACGCAGCTGGGCCTGAGGAATTAGCGACCTCGGCGCACCGCCCAACCCCGACGTCAGCGAGGCCGACTCGCCCACGCTCCGGGCGGCGCGCGCGCAGCAGCTGGCGATCCTAAAGGGGTGGCTCGAGGAGCGCGCCGCGCCCACAGTGGCGGTGGCGTGAGGGCTTCGCTCACAGATAGACGGACGCCAACGTCCGGTGCTGCAGTAGTCCTAAAAATTGGGCTCCTCACCCTCCTTGGGCGACTTTGATGTGGGGCCTGAACCCCTTCCCTTTCTGGGCGCGAAACTGAAAAAGAAAAAACGCCCCATCGTTTTTGTCAGTGTGATTCACGCACTCACTCACTCATATGCCTCCGTACGGCATGCAATCGAGCTTAACTCTCCGCGCAGTTCTCGCTGCGGCACGCCACGTAAAAATAGCGTAATGTCTGTGCAGCACAACGGCAGCATCTCCCGCACTCTCGTCAGCACAGACGCGCAAACCACGCAAAAGGGCTCGGACATCCATGCAGCCGCGAGTAGTGCGAGTGCTGAGGTGCTGCTCCGGCAGGAGTTGGAAGAGAAGTTGCGGTCACAACCAAGGAGCTCGCTTCTGAGCAGCGCTCTGCGAGCGCTGTGAAGAGGGCGCTCGCGCCGGGGCGGGCTGAGCTTGCTGCGGCACTAGAGCTTAGGCGTTCCGACCGCGGCAACCTGAGGACAGCGCAGCTGGCTGTTAAACGCGACATCAAAGCGGCCGAGCGGATGGCCGACGAGGTAAACACACAGCTCGAACTGAGTGCGAGTGGCGTATCGGCGAGATGCGTGCCAAGATGCAGGCTGAGCTGCGCGAGCAGCTCGCCGCGCTGCAGATTTCGATGGAGGCAGAGGCGAGGCGCGCTGATGCCGCAGAGGCGGAGAGGTCAAGGATGTACGACAAGATGGAGGGGATTATGCGCACGCGAGAGAGGTTGATAGTCGCACTCGCAGAGGCGCAGCGCAAGCGCGAATATAGTGATTGTTTAGAGATATACGTAGCGTTACAGTCGCACGGTCGTCGCCCTCCCACTGTGTGCGCCGCGCCCGCGCGGACCCCGGAGAGCTGCTGCGCGTGCACAGACACTCAGACAGCGTTGCGCGAGCATTGGAGAGGCCAGCCTGCTTCTCAGCGTGTCGCGAGTGCTGTGTCTCTGCCTGCCTTGAAGCTGGGTGCGGCGGGGGAGTCTCTCGTGGTTTTTTGTTACACGATTTACGGACTCACGGATTTACGGATCCACCCCCCTCCCTCCCCGTCCCGCGGTCCGGCCGTGAGACGCGCATCTACGAATCAAAAGTTGGTGCCGGCACCATGTCGTGTACGGCTTAGGGCTTTATGGTTTATGTGCGCTCGGACATATCAACAAGTACAAGTAACAAGATCAGATACACAAAATAATACAACCCCGCCCTGTTAGGACAACAAGAAATGTTCAGAACGCCCAACACGCTTGGGCGCCTCAGCCGCCCAACCGGGGAGCGCCTCCGGCTCCGCTCAGCGCCAGCCGCTTGAGCACATCATACGTCGGCAGGAAAATCGCGAAGCCCGGCCCGGCGTACAGAAACCGGCCCACCAGCCCCGCAAAGAGCGCCGCCGGCCCCTCCGCGCGAATCAGCTTGGCGAGGCAGTCGATCGGGCCGCGGTAGCTGAAGACGTCCGGGTTGGCGCCCGCCACCTGCAGCCGCGTCTTCACGACGTCGATCGGGTTGGTCGCCGCGGCGGCGACGCCGGCGCTCGCAAAGGTGTTTGCGACGCCGAGCAGATAGCGTTCCTCCGTCTTCACGCCGAGCGCCGCCTCCGCCTCCTTGAGCTTGCCCAGCGCGGCGAAGAAGATGCCGTTGAAGGGCACCCAGACGAGCTGGTGCGGCAGAAAGGCGCGGTAGAAGCCCGCGAGCCCCTCGGCGGAGAGGATGGTGCGCAGCGCCGCCGCGCTGCTCGCCGTCGAGCCGACCTGCGACTTGAGCTGACCGTCGATCGCGCAGCGCTCCACGACGATGTCGCGAGGGATGTAGGCGATCGAGGCGAGGAGCTGGGCGTTCATCCCCACGGCAAAGTCCGTGAGCGCTGTGCCCTCGCCGAGCGTCTCCTTGCTGAGCTCGGCGCCCGCCATGTACTATTGCACAGGAGAGGAGAGAGAGGTCAGTCATCAGTCATCACACAGAGCGTGTGAGGGTTGGGTCAGTGTAGCCGCTGGCTGACCAGTCCACGCGCGAGCGGTGTGAACAGCACGTTGAGCCCGAGGCCCTTGTAGAAGGCGCCGACACCCTCAGTGCGGTAGATGGTGCGGATGGCATCTCCAAAGGACGAGTAGGCGGTGAGCGAGCGGTCCGCTCCCTGCACCATCATCCGCGTGCGCACGACCAGCGCAGGAAGCACGACCACCTCGGCGATGGAGCCGGCTGCGCCCCCGAGGAGGACCGAGGTGACGGGAGAGATGGGCTGCTGCTCGTCCATGCACGTTCGTGCTTCTCAGCACGGCAGCTCTCAGCCGGCGGCAGCTCTCGCCGGGACCGGGGTACAGCGGCTGTTCTCCGCCGCATTTCTTTTTGAGAGGTGAGCCTGTGTGTGTGCCAGTCCGCGCCAGTCTGCGCCCTTGTCGTGCCAGTGTGCTGTGAGAGAGGCTTGTATCTTAAGAATTCTTTTTGAGAGCGCCTTCGTCGCATTCTGCGCTTCGCGAGCATTCGCGTAATATGATCGTTTGGGACTTTGCAAATTCAAGCAAGGGAGAAAAAGAGGGAGGAGCGCGTGCGCATCTTCCGAGCAGTGGTGTTGGCCAAAGCTTTCCGGCGGAGCACGAGCTGTGAAATAGCCCTGGTAGAGAATTGGGTAGAGGCTCGACACACCGAAGACCACGCCCGCCATGCAGAATATCGCAAAGACCGCGACGGCAATATCTATGCGTCTTGCTGAACCTGACGCTACGCGCACGCATGATTGGTGCAGTATCCGATGAAGTCGAATCAAATGAAGAGGTGCGAGAGGGGTGTGAGAGCCCCATCGGTCGTGAATGAGGTGGCCATTCTTTTAGCTCGATCGACTCAGGCTCGATAGCCGAGAGATGTATCGAGCAACGGAGGGGCCGCCGCCCTGTCGCCGCATAGGAAGAGGCGCTCCATCGCCGGGCTCGTGAGCGAGCTCTGCTGCGGGTGGAGGGCAGGACGCTCGGCCCCGCCGAACTCGGGTCCGCTCTGAAGGTGGCGGCTGACACGGACGCCGAGGCGCGCGGCGACTGGCCAGGCATGACCCACGAGGTGCGCGCGCTTCAGGCCGTTTTGAGAGGCCTGATCGCCAGGCGAGCCGCGCATGTAGTGCGGGCGAGGGCAATGCACCCCACGCCAACAATTGCCGCCTCAGGGCGCCAGCCACCTCTTACACGCGGCCGGCGCCCTCTCGCTCGCGGCAAAAGGAGCGAGCGGGCAGAGTCGCGATGTCTGCGCACCCGCGTGCCGATGGGCGGCACACGCAACCGAGAGAGGCCCTGTCACGCCGCCAGTAGCGCTCCGCACTCCCCAGCCACGCCACCAAATGCCGCCTCAGGGCGCCAGCCACCACTTACACGCGACTTGTTCACAGCCTTGTTATTGAGAAGAAATACCTCTTCACACCGGTATGCCTTGCTCCTTTAGGTGCTTTTAATACGTTCTGATTCTTGTGCTGATACTTGCGTCCGAGACTGCTTGTGTTAGCCCGGTGGGTTTTCTTTTGCCCTCGGTGTCCTGTCTCGGTGCGAGTTGTTCCCCCTTTGTTGGACACCTAGTTGTTCCCCCTACAGCAGTGGCGGTCCGCTCACCGCGGTTTCTCTTGCTGCCGGCTGTCCGCCGACAGGTGGAGCCTCGTGAGGGCATCGAGCCCACACAGTCGGCGACAGTCCGTCGCCGCGCGCGGACCGCGCAGGACCCGGACCGGGCACGTCCGTGGAACCGGAGGTTCTGCGGCACGCAGGAAACATGCTCTCTCGCGCTTCTCGAGATTCCAAACTGTACCCCTACGCGGACCCGTGGGACGGAAACACCTCTCCGACGCGCTCGACTATAGTCTTCGGCCAGCGGGGCCCGTTCTTCGAGCGCAACTGGCTGCCCGATATGCTGAGCGGCCTCGGTGGCGTGACCGATGACTACGCTTCGCTGACGGATGCCGGGGCGCCGGCGGGGGCGGGCGAGCGGGAGCTCGGGCGGCGCGAGCCGAGGTTGTGCATGTCCTTGTCCACGGGGGGGGGTGTCGGGCCGCGTCACGCCAGTGTTCGCCAGTGTCACTAACACTATCAGAGGTATCTTCGGTCGGAGACACATGACTGATCTTGACTGTCAGGCAGTCCCAGTCGCCCGCGGGGAGACGTACACACCACACACCAGACACACACACTCACACACACGGGGAGAGGAGAGCGATAGCCCGATACGTCCCGATCGGCCGCGAAGCGAAGCAATGCCTCGCCAATAATTATTTGGCACGCAGAGAGAGAGAGAGAAATCTGTTTGCGGCATGCGCATGGGACGAAGCGAAGCAATGCCTCGGCATTAGTTAATTCCGAATTATTAATTGGCCCGCACGGAGTGTTGCGGATGGGGCGTATGCGGACCGAGGACGGCTAATATGTCGAAAGCGTCCGCCGGGGGGGGCGATGACGATGGAGTGGCGCCTGTGGTCGCGACCCCAGCCACCGGTGCGCGGCTGGCCTTCCTGGGCCCCCTCCTCATAAGTAGTTGCACCAGCATCCGGGGGGGCGCAGCGCGCGCTACGAACCGTCAATTGTCCCGCCCCGGTCCCCTCTGCGCAGGGCTGCCGACCACGGACAATACTGGCGAGGTGCCAAAGGATTGCGTCTGCTGCGACAAAGATCCGGGACGAACCAACAAGATAGGCCAGACTGAAGGCTGCTGCCTCCCCTTTGGGCTGTGCAGCGCCTACGTCGCCTTTGACTCGAATTGCGTCTGCTGCGCCAAGGCCGAGGCCGAAGTTCTCTGCTTAGAAGGCGTAGCCGGCCAACTAGGGGGCACATGTTGCCTTGCCACTGACGAGAAGTGCCTTCCTTGGGGCCTGCTCCCAAAGAAGAATGAGAACTCGATCTGCCGGCTTTCGCTCGGCTGTTGGATCTGCGGGCTCAAGAAGCCCGAGTACTGTGTCAACCACTGGTCTCGCTGCTGGTGTTGCGTCGAGGCTCAATCATGCCCGATGAATGAGAACGCGTTCGTCAAAGAGCCAAATTGCTCGCTCTGCTGTGGCTGCAACGTTCTGCCGCACCTCGGCTGCTGCAAGCCCGTCCCCCACCCCGTCCCCTTGAAAATGACCCGGGACTGGGAGACGGCGTAGACTCCTTTGCAGCACACGATCGGACAGGCGAGCGCCGCCGTATGAGCTTGCATCGCCCTCGCCACCGACGCTCGCGGTGACGCACAGCGGGATCGCAACGATCTCCGCACCTCGGAGTGAGGTTGGGTAGAGGATGTAATGCTCCACAGCGCTCAGCTGGTGGGCTCAGCTGGTGTTCCACTTCTAGACTCCAGGCTCTCTTTGTGTGCAGTGTTGCCCTCTCTACTGCGTGTGCAGTCCTGTGCACAGTGCGTTGCCTGACGTGACGCAGAACCTAGACGGACGACGCGAAGCGGGGCGTGTTTCTTACGATTGGGTCACTGCACTCCCCTGCCACCACCCTCAGTCTACTGAGTACTGTCGCGAAGAAAACTGAAAAGAGCCACGAGACGCGCACATCGGCTCTTCTTCCTGGAGGTCTCTAGGAGCCCGAACCCTGACGATACATGGTTTGCCATATTCTCACACACCAAACAAAACGCAAAACGGCGGAGAATCTGGTTAGATATGGAGACTCTCTCAAGACAGATGCGGAGCGCCACACACACCACCCGGGGCCGGCTCCACGGTCGCCCTCCCAAAGCAAGCGAGACGCAAGTCGCAAGAGAAGCGGCAGAGGCGCCGAGCTCATGGCGATGCCCGCACCGCCACGCACCCTCGGTCGTCGGGAGGAGCCCGAGCAGCGGTGTGTACACCACGCCCGTCTCTAGTAGCCGAACTTGGCGAGCTTGGCGTCGAACTGATCGGCGACGGCTACCTTGGCCTGCGGGAGGGCGGGGGAAGGGGGGGGGGGGGAGAGAGTTGGGAGTGCCAACCCCTAGCCCAA